TCTTGTAAACTACAAACATAGAAATGCAGTATCATGAAAGAGGGAGATTCAGGAAAGTGTCATTTCTATTCCACATCATCCAAAGGTTTTATATTATCATTTTGTTTCTATTTTCTACTCCATGACCAATGTTACAGCCTTATGAAAAGGATATAGGCCTGTAACAGAAAGTATCCCAGAAAAAGGTAGCTGGTGCTATTCAACTATATTCCATATTCACATGGGGAAACTCCAGCTTATCCCTATGAGAGCAGCACATGCATGCCTAGGCAAAATCTGGCCTTTATCCACAGGAGCAGAGAGACTGTTTAGTCAGTGCACGCCAACAGCAGAAAACGGAGCCAGATACAGCCTCAACTGTTATCACGTTTGTATTTTAATAACGGATCATAAAAAGCAAAACAACGCTTTGCCCACTGATAGCACTTCCAATTCCAGAAGCTCCATATAAATATGCTTTGCTTTAAACCTGTGCCATACCAACCTTTTCTAGGTTCAATGTCATCTATAAAGACTGAGTTAAAATAAAAATGTGGGCCAAATTTATCAGACGTTAGTTTTCTTCGGATATGGAGTTTAGAATACTGACTATGTTTCATCCTAGATGTGATTCAAGTCATACATGTTCTGTTGAGCAACGTATTTTCCACCAGCTCAGTCCAAAATACTTGCCCTAATCATGCATTTCAAATACTTGTCTGAAGTGCTGAAGGTCAAATGAAAAATGGGAAAGGCTTCCTTCCATTCATGTTATACTAATTTATGTCTGTATAGCATATTAGAAATTACAGCACTATTCAGGTCTTGGGAGAGGAGGCTCAAGAGTCTGTTAAATTATGGCATCATTATAGTTAGCTAATTTAAAGACATATCCAAGGGGCAACAGAAGAGACCATTTGCCTCTGTCAGTGTGGAGCTGTGCATGCCCTCATAGCCGGAAGAATGGTGTGTGTGCATGACACTGAGCAGTGAAGAGGAACTTATCACGACGGAACTACAGCAGAAGTAGTCAACATTTTATTCTGTCATTTTCAGCCCTCTGTCATAAGAGGCTCTGATAGGGATACTTAACAAAGCTCCAAAAAGGCCTTAAAAAAACATTCCTCCCTCCAGGGTAAGCATAGGGGTGATGAGCTTTTCGAATTAAGATTATGTAAGGTAGTGCGCTTCTCTGCATTATGTTTTATATGCATAATTATATCTCACTGCACAATATTGCACACTGTAAACTCTAAAGGATGCTTATTCACAGGGATTCCCTTTTGTAGTTCTTTCAGAGAGAAAACTGATATTACACATATATCTAACATCAATCTGAACGAGGTTGAACCTCTAGATATCCTGATAAGGTCCAGGAACCGCAGGAAGAAACAATCATCTGCCCAAACCAGCCTCCTGCCCAAGAGGACCAGACCACCCAACCAGAGAGCAGGCTCCTTTTATCAGATAAAGCCGTGAACGCCGGAGCGAAGCCGGGCAGAGAGTCTGCAATGCAGAAGCCCTTCCCGGAGCTCATCAATGAGCTGGGGGAGATGGGGCGGGGGCACACCCGGGAGACCTGCCTGAATCCCTG